TCTAATCTATCATCTATCCATCCATCCATCCATCTTCTATCTATCATCTGTCTATCATCAATCATCTATCTATCTCTCTATCTATCTTTTTGAACAAGGTCTCCCTGGCCTGGAACTCACTATGTAGAGCAGGCTGGTCTCGAATTCAGAGATTCACCTGGCTCTGCCTCTCAAGTGCAGGGATTAAAGGCGTGTGCCACCATGCCTTCTTATATCTCTTGAATATGTCTCTTTTGTACTAAGAATCTAGTAAGACATGAAGGAAAAGTTTCATTTTCTTTCTTTCTTGGAATGTGAGTTATAACAAATAAACTGGGGAAAATGTTCTGAATAGGTGAAAATTTTGCATACACAAATACATGCGCATACAAATAATCATATGATACTATTAAAATTATATTTTTACCCCCAAGATAAAAGTGCCACTTCTGCACAAATAGAGATAATGTTCTGGGTCAGTCATTGTCCTGGTTCACAGACTTTATCACTAGGTAGGATCATTGATTGTTTTTCTCCTTTGGCAGCTTGTACAGGGAGTAATCAACAACTGTCTAATTGAACTTAAGGTCTGTTTAATGCAGGGGAATTCACATGTGGTACTGTAAACATATCTAAGTACATATAGCTGGTGAGGTCATAGACTCTAGAGAAAAACATACATCTGTCACTTTCCTATACCAAAGTAACTTATTTTTTGAAATATTTTATTTATTATTTTTATTTTATGTGTTTGAGTGTATTGCCTGCATGTATGTAAGTGTACCCGTGTCCTGAAATGCCTGCAGAAGTCAGAAGAGGGTGTGGAATCCCCTGGAACTGGAATTACAGATTGTTGCTAGCTGTCATGTGGGTGCTGGGAATCAAAACTGGGTCTTTTGCAAGACCAGCCAGTGATCTTAACTGCTAAGTCATCTTTCTAGTCCCCAAAGTAATTTCTTACTATATTCTAAATATATATCCTTATATTTTATACAGCCTTATATTTACAGAGAAGTGTACCTCTTGCCACTCATAACAGAGTGTCCTTTTAGCAACAGATGGAGACTATTACAAAGTTCCACAACTCGTCACACACAAAGCATAAGTGATTGTGAGGTGCCCAGCTGAAAGTGACACATTTACAATGCAACCTCTACACCTAAGGCTCAGGAAACATCATGGAAGAAAGGGCAAAAAGAATGTAAGAACCAGAGGGACAAGACATCTGCAACTAATTAATACATTTTAGATCTGATGGGGAAGATCCACCAATGAAATCTCTGCAGTATGGTAGTCTAATGAGATCTGCATAATGACAGTGACATGCCAAGTTGGAGGGGGGACATTTCTTGGAGTCTCACCTCAAGATGAAGAGCTAGAGGCAATCAATGGATGCTGAGGGAGGGAGAATCAGTTTTCTCCAGGGACTAGATCCCCAAGAGGAGTGGGCAGTCCTAAACATGGGTGCACACGAGCACCACTGAATGGACTCAGTGCATTATAATTATATATGTATGTATATTTGTAAATGTATGTATGTATGTGTACATAACAATAGTAATCAAAAAGTTCAAGAAATTGAGCAGGAGGTTGAGGGACATGGGAGAAGTTAGAGGGCTAATGGGAGGATGAAAGTAATGCAAATACAGTACTAGTGTTTGAAATTCTCAAAAAAAAAAAAATCTTTACAAAATCTCCACAGGCAAAAAATGCAACTACAAAGAAACTTTAAATAAAATTAAAGATATCATAATATATTCTCAGTCAAATCTTAAGTAATATAGAATAGAAATATTAACGCAGTGGTGTGGAATCATTTGCTTCACCGTCTTCCAGCATTTGTTCTGAGGCTGACAGGCACAAGGAATTCAGTCTTCTGAAGACACAGTCAGAGAAGAGTAATTTTCATATTCTTAAATATTCACTGAGCCTATTCTTGTTTTCTTATTTTAATTAGAGTGATTTGTGAGAATAAGATCATTAATGTAAGATGCATGCTTGTAAATTGGAATTGGACTGACAAAGGGACCTCAAAATCATTCAGACCATTCTAAATCCACATGTCACACCACTGTAATCATGGGCATGTAGATGCTAACTTTGCCAAAAAGCACTGACTCCTACTTGGGCCCACATATGCAACTGAAAGAAGGAGGCAAGCTGGCCTCTCTGCCTTTTATTTTCATCTGTCTCTTAGCTTTGGGTCACCTGCCTCTCTCTACACAGAGGAATGTTAATCATTCAACGAATGTCTATGTAAAACCCAGTGAACCCTGACTGGTATAACCCCCTTCAACTGGAAGAACAAAGGTTGACTAACTAGAGGCTTCTCACTGTCAGTGCTTTTGATAATGGCCTGTTCTGGACCTGAAGGGAGAGCTATAGTTTTCAGACATTGTCTTAAACCGGCATTCACCTTGAGTTCAGGAATAGCAGCAGGGCCTTGCAGGATCATTTTCCAGATGTCTGCTGTGGTGAGGCTGTACCTTGAAGCAGGATTAATTGTCTTAGGGAAAGAAGATTACTCCCCTTGAGCTACAGAGACTCCTTCAAGCCACCTAAGGAACCATAGCTGAGACAGTCATCTATCAGACAATACCTTGGACAGGACTGGTTGACTAATTATGCATGCTTCTTGACACCCTGGCCCAGTTCTTCTTTATGTATACCTAGGACTCATCTGAGTGACCTTGACAGACAGGGCTGCTGGACCCTGTCCTGTGCTCTATTCTTTAAACCTCCTGTCCTTGTTTTTCTTCATTATATGTCTCTCTGTTGGTATCCTGGGTACAAGTGGCAAGGCCTACTTTGTAGAATTTCCAGAGATGGGTTCTCCTTAAAATTCTCATAATATCATCTCTTTCCTTTGGTTAAAAAAGAAGCAAATTTTAATAATTATTTAATACATATTTTTAATTCATACAAAATATTGAAAGTAATACTGAAGAGCTAACTTTACTATATACAAGCTTACAAGTGCATGGTGTGTGGAGGTAATTTGTCCTGAGTACATAGTGTTTTTGGCATTCTAACCCTCTTTTGATTCACTCATAAAATATGCTCTACCCTTCTCAGTGTTTCTGGGAGTGGATCAAATTACTGAACTTTTCTCTTGGCTGCTTCCTTTTATTTGACTCTGCCCAGGGTCACGTATCATCTCAGCAAGGAAACAGCACCATTAGTCCAAAGTCCAGATCACTCTTAGTGAGGTATGCCCTGCCACATGATTGCCTGGCTTATCATTTTCCTTGGCTACTCCTCTTATGGGGGAGATCACCTTCAATGGAAGAAATGGAGAAAACTGGGGAACACTATTCCCTAGCTTCTAATCAGGTATGTACAGGGGAAAGCATCTGTCATGTCATAAAGGCACAAAATACCCTTCCAAACCAATACTAGAATAAATCAAGAGGAGGAGATCTTGTTTATGTTATTGTTGTTTACCTGTTTTTGGGTTTTGTTTTCTTGACGAAAAGGTCTCCTTATGAATCCTAGACTGGCCCAGAACATAAGCTTAAAAAAGAAGACAATGAATACAGATCTTTGAGCAGGAACTGCTACTGAGGTTAGTTCCTTTTGTCAGCTCACTGTCATTGGAAAAATTTTACCTTTCTTATAAAAGTCAAAGCAACCAAGTGTGTCCCATTGAAAAATCCTTTCCTTTATTCTTATGTCCAGCATGTACACTACTCTGTGCTGGTCAGGTAAATTAAGATGGTAATCAGTTCAAAGAGGACCAATAACAGGAGAATGAAGGCATTGTTAATCACAGCTCAGAAATTGAAAGGTGGGCACAAGAGGGAAGAAAGTGCTGTGGATTAAGTAGACAAATTCTTAACTCTGCCTATGGATAATCAAATTGTAAATATCAGCCACAGAATTAGGTCATAAGGATAGTGCCCCTCACTTTGTTCTTACTATCATTTGTTGTCCAATAAAACTGTCATAATCCTTTAAAGTTGGACTTAAATGTCATAAAATAATAGATTATCAGCAAAACCTTCAGATTCCTCCTGGTTTCTAAATGTCTTTGCTTCTATTCTGTTGTTGGAGGTTAAGTTTGCTGTGTCTGCTGTTTTGGAATAATGTAATTGCAGGTTAATGGTAGAATTTTAAGAATCTCTTCCTGACACTTCCCAAATGACACTTCCATTGTTCAGAATTTCTGACACCAAACAGCATGGAGAATCGTTCTGAAAACAAAAAGAAAATTAAAGAGGAGCAGGATAAAAAGAAAAGAAATAATCCAAAAAGCAAAGTAGAAAGCATTTAGTGGATCCATGTTTCACACGCGTGTGGACTCATACTCAGTTTAACCATTTGCATTGAAACAATAATGGCTATAGATAAGAGGGGTGGGGGAGGGTAGGAATAGGAAGGCAAAAACCCATCACTTCTGTACTGTTTAACCTGGAAAGTTTATTCACAAGTCTGGCACAGGTCATGGCTGGTCTCTAACCTAGCTGAAATTTGAATTATTTTAGACATACATTTATTTATTTACTGATATATTTATTTATCTATTTATTATTTATTTAGTACATGTGTGTCCTGCTCTCACTTTCTATCCTGTGAGTCCCTGGAATTGAACTCAAATCTTCAGGCTTACTCAGCCTATAGTTGAATTACTGAATCAAAGGTACTACATACTTCAAGGCACATTGAACAGTCTATTGCTATCCTGATTAATAACTGTTAGCCACTTAACTTTTCTAAGCTCTCCTATCCCCTATCAGTGAGCTCTTGTAATTAAACTTAGAACATCTCAGAAATTACTCATTTATCACCCCAATTCATGGTGGCTGCTGATTTTAGGTAATAGCACTATAATATGCATATCTGCCTTCAGTGGGATGATGGCAGCTCAGCTACACTGACTTTTGTGCTAAGTTTCTCTAATTGTGGCATAGTACCTGATACAATCGATTTATAAAGAGAAACAGTTTATTTTTGTTCACAGTTTTGGTTATTTCAGTCTGGTTGGTCCATTGCTTTGAGGCCTATAGAAAATCAGAAAATCATGGTGGATACATGTATCTGAGGAAGGTGGTCAGTTACTTTGTGGCAACCAGGAAGAGAAAGAGAAATATTGTCCAATATCCCACAATAATTGAGGTTCATTAAGCTCATCTCCTAATGGTGCACTACTTCTCAATAGCACCAGAGTCTAGAGACCAAATTTTTAACTCCTGGACCTACCAATGCAAAAACACAACTTTCACTTCAAAGAGACTAAGAAATAGTTTATTCCAGAATCAAACACGAGTGACCATGGCCCTAAAACACAGACTCACATTAGCCTAAATTCTATGTGCTAATGTGGTAATAATTTCATGATGTTTATATAGTAACAGAACAAAGAAAAATAAAAATCATGACACTTTTCAAATATGTTGTTGGAAACCAGGAAAGCAAGGAGATTTGAGCTATAGGACTCAGATGCTCTCTAACACCATTCTTAACCTTTTGGTTAGTGGAAGTTAAGGGTCTATTTGTACATTTTAAAAGATTTATCTAATGGTCACAAAGATGTTAGGTCACATTAAGAGCAATAAAGGGATGTTAAGGATCCATAGACTTAACGTTACTCATTAGACTCTGGCTACTGACTGGACCAAGACAATTTGGACTGGACTTGGAATGTTCCACATGCTCTATAATCATTGAATTATAATCAGTTATTTAGCCTTGTTCAAGGTAAAATGGGGTTCTTTCCAGGAACTTTCATTCACAACTTTTGGGGGACAATTCTTATTCAAACTAGCATTCCTGACCTGGCCCTTAAAGACTCACATCCGGCTCACACAGCAAAAGCTATCTATCCAGCTTATGACCAAGAATCCTTGACATCTTATCCTTCCTGTTTGTTGTTAGAATTCTAAGTCCTAAGTTTTCTCTGAGACTTAAGGCAAACCTGGCAGTGAATTCTTGCAAAAAATTAAAAAGACAAGTTACATTTTTCCCAAACAGTGTGGCATAGAGTAGATATTCCCACTCTAAAAAAGGAAGAATAGGAACCTAAGAAGCAATCAGACCAAAGCGAGACTGTGCTCAGCAGGGCAGACATTAAATCGCAGTGCACCATGTCCAATATCCACGGCTCATTGCAGGACTGAATCCCTGAGAATGTGACCAAGTCAGGCTCTTCTCCCTGCCCAAACTTCCCTTAGCAGGCTAACTTCCCTTAGCATTGCCAACATGTCTATGTCCCAGGGTCTCTTGGCTTCATTCTCACATCATCAGGCACCACTGTGTCAGGGCTGCCTGCCTTACAGCCTCTCTCCCAGGCTTGGGACTGCAAACCTCTATCATGTGGAAGATGCCGAAGTCTACTGCCTACTTGAACCACAAAGTTGAACCATAAAACAGCTCACCAGTTTAATGCAGGGTGCACCTGGGCATAGGGAAGCCTACAAGACATTTCTGAAAGGATTCTGTCCTGGAAGGGTTTTGGAACAAATTTGCAATTCTGTCTTTGAGCCTGTGAGGAGTTGGGCTGCCCCGCCGAGTTCTGCCGTGCAGTCACCCGTGTGTCTATTTTCCCAGTGCAGAGCTTTTGGCTTCACTTTATCAGTGTTACTCTTTGACACCTGTGCCTTCTTTGGCTGGTCCTTTACATCACACGCTCCTTCTCTGGCCAACCTGAGAATGTTTTAAATCTCTTTGCTCTGCCATTTTTGGCTTCAAATCCTTATTGTAAACTTGACTATAGCAGCTAATCATACCAAAGCCAGAGCCTACTTTGTAGACTTGAAATCTCTCCCACTAAACTCTTGCATTTCATTTAAACTTAGACTATCACAAAGTTCAGGGCATGGGCAAAATGCGCCCATATGCTCTGTGGTAATGTGATAAAATTCACAACCCACAATGAAACCACCCAGGAAGTTGTGCTTACAGTATTTTAGGGTCCCTCTAGCCTTTCTCTAGCCTGCTCCTTCAAATACTCCAGCGAGCTCATTGTAATGTTTTTTACACATGTATAGCTGCTTTTTATGACCCTTCTCTTCCTATCAATTTTCTGTTAGTCACTATTTTTAAATACTGAATAATTAACTTGGGTAGAGACGTTATTTATTTTTTTGTTTTTAAATAGAGTCACAAGATGTAGCTCAGGCTTCCTCAAACTCTCCAACCTTCTATTTCATACTTCAAAGTGCCACCATGTTTGACTAGGGAAAAGTTTATCTTGAATTACCGTTTTTGAGGTTTCAGTCCAAGATTTGGGGGGAGCTATTACCCTGGGCCTCTAGTAATTGTTCTAGATGACAAAGCACTCACTTTATCTGTGCTCAGGAATCAAAAGAGGGTGAGACCACAGTTCCACAGTCCCTTTGAAGG